TGTGTACAGGGACAAAGATGGCATGCCTTCATTGTTACGCCACTGCCCATATGCCCCATACTGTGCCCCAGATGTTCCATCCCTTGTCCCAGATGTCCCATCCTATGTCCCATATTATCACCCATCACTATTATTTATCACCCAACACTATTATCACCCTTAACATGGTTAAATGCTGAGAGCAGCCTGTGTGTGGGCGGGGCTATGACTTCTCACGTGCCATCCTCTTTCACAAACAGTGGGCTGCGCCGGGGACGCGCTGTGTCTCGAGGACTCGATCGCTTAGTGTGGGAGGGGGCGCGCATTGCGTCTGACCGGAAAGTTCCGGGCGCGGGGATGAGCCCGTCCTTCGTGTCCACGTGACCGTACGTGCGCGGCACCGGTGAGTAGAGCAACATGGCAGCGGGTGACCCTGAGGGATGGGGACGGTTCTGGTTGGCATAGGGACAGTCCTTTCCCTACCGAGCTCCGCACAGAACTGATAAGCAGGGTGGGGGGAGGTCCCTGGTGAGTGTCGGGCTGTCCAATCACATTCATCCTGTCACGGGAGACACGTGGTTGTCTGTCATGCCGGTCCTGTGGCTTCCTTCTTTTTTGAGGCAGGACTCCTAATGCAGGTACTCCGAGGCTCTCAGAGGATGGGAGGCTCCTCCATTGTTTGCTCTCTCTCTCTTCCTGGCAGAAGGGTGCTTGAAGCTCCCGGCCAATATTTACCCTCCTGGGGCCTGAGAGCTCTTCACCTTGCTGGAATTTAACCCCTTCATCAGCTGACCTCATCCTTCCCTTCAGTCTTCTATTTGACCTCCATCCCTTCCTTCAGTATTGTATAGTTGTACCCGCTCCTCTCCTGGACTGAAATGGCTTCCTCTGACTTCCATGCACACTGAGAGCTTCTCACCATGTATATTAGAAGCTACAGCAAGTCAGAGCCAGCCTCATTTCCTGGCTGGAGGACGTCCAGCATCATCTAGCCCTTTCCTCCCCAACCTGACTGTCCCTGGCCCCGCCCCTTTCATTCTTTGGATATCAGTTCTGTCAGTCATGGAGGCTCAGCATCAGTGGTGGGTGTTACCATTGCAAATACAGCCTAGGAGCACCCAGAGTGACACCCACCAGTCAGGGCATTTTGATATTTGCATAACTCCTCCTACTGCTTCCATCAGGGCTGCTGCTAACTTCTCCCACTACTTGCATCAGGGCTGCTGATAACTCATAACTCTTCCCACTGCTTGCATCTCTCAAGAGCAGTACTGAGGCAGGGGGCTGTGATGTCTTCAGGGAGCTATGTCCAGCACCTTGCTGGCCCCTCCCACCAGCCAGGATCTGCCTGCATTGTATAGAGAAGCACAGAGACCCGGTGATGACATCACTGAATGTATAATAAGGTCTGTAATGTAAAGGGAAAGGTTTAATATTGATGAGGGAGGGGGCAGGGAAGGTGAAATATAAGCAGATAAGCATGCAGCCAGTGAAGCCAGAACTCCTGATCTCCGTGCTTGTGCACTGTATTTGACTGATGATTTGTGGGACATTAGACCGCCCGAGCGGGGCTGCAGGGACCGATCTATCAGCCATGCGGGTCCGAGGATCAGGAGAGTACATCCTTGTTATTTTACGTCCCAGACCAGGGGTGAGCTGAAGGAGTGTCACACCGGTGACACCCACTAGAGCAGGGGGTGGGCAACCTCGGCCCCTCCGGCTGTTGTGGAACTACAAGTCCCGTGAGGCATTGCAAGACTCTGACAGGCATGAGTCCCAGAGGCAGATGCATGATGGGATTTGTATTGCCAGCACAGCGGGAGGGCCTGGAGATTGCCTATACCTACCCTAGACCAAAGCAAGCACATAACCCTTGCAGGGGGGGGTGGGGGGTGTAGCCCTGGCTTTTCATTGGCCAGGAGGTCTTCTTTAACCTTAAGCGGCCCTTTGGTCATGTCAGGGGCCATAGTTGAAGCCCCCCCCCCGTTGCTCATAAGCTGACAACCACTGGTATGTACACACGCAGCTGATGTTACACCCGGAGCTCTCATCGAAATATTGTATTGACCATAGAGACTAATATACTCCATATCCAGTATAGAAGGGACGGGCGCCCTGTGCGTCGGGTAGAAGAGCCGGGCGCCCTCGGGTCTTGTTAATCTATTTGAGTTTTGTAACCGGCCGGTCTGGTCGCAGGCGTGTGGACGGGTTGTATCGGGTCCTGCAGTGTGTGGACCTGAATTGAGGGGTCAGTATATCTGTACTGCACGAAGCCTGCGTTGTCTGAGCGTTGTCTGATCACTGACCTGTGTCTATCTGCAGGAAGCAGCATGGCCTCGTTACATGGAGCCGCCCGACTTCTCGTCTGCCAGGCCTGGACCGCCATTAACAGACAGACCTTCAGGTAAACGAAGCCCAATTGTGCTCAGGCGTCATGTACATATAACTCATGATTATACACAAATATATCTGGGGACATAGAAGGGAATTTTATTGGTTACTCTGTTTTAATTTAAAAAAATGATGCACGAATATAAAAAAAAATCTATAATTTTTTTTAATACTGTAATTGTATGTGAGAATTACAGTATTAAATCTTCAAGGTCCAGTGACATCTGCAAGCTGAAGTCTTATTTTGTCATTGGAGCCTCCAGCCTGCATGTGATTACTATGTAATAGCTGATATAGTGATCACATGATCAGAAAGCACTCCTAATCGTCAGTGGGAACCAGAGCTGTTAAAGGAGAAGTATGAGGGGAGCGATTTCCACTCATCCTCATAGTTGGACGTGTGACAATGAGACTGTCACAGGTCGGCTCAGTAGATCGGGAAGTGAGCAAACACATACCGGCGCTCGCTCACTTCTCGATCTATCCATGCAGAGAGCTGTGACTGTCACTCACGGCTCCCTACAGGGATTCCCCCGCTCTGATCCTCCAGCGCTGACTGGCGGAACGGACGGGGGAGGGGGCGGGTACAGCTGGCTTTGCCTCTGGATAGGCAGAGCCAGCTGTCAATCATGCAGCTGGGCGGATCCAGACAGTATTGTCGGGATCCGTCCCGGCTGAGGTGCTCTCAGTATACAGCGAGCTGTACCCCGTTCTATACTGAGCTTTGGGTCGCGGGAGGACGTTGGAATATGTCCTCCCGTGACTCTGAGGAGAACTAGGGGGAAAATAAGGAGAACTATGGGGAAAAACACTGACCCCATAGTTCTCCTTTTTTAAGAGCCGCTCAGTGCGACGTCTGCTGGCTCTCAGTGGGGGGAGGGGACTTGATTAGCGTATCTTCAGGTTTGGGAACATTATTATTGGGATTGGAGGAGGACGAGGGCTGAAAGGTTTTGCGCTGGTGACATCGGGTGTGTTCTGTCCTGCAGCCTCTCAGCATCGTGCGGAGCCATCCAGAAGCTGACGCGGGTTCGCGTGGTGGATAACAGCGCCCTAGGAAATACGCCGTATCACAGGCCCCCCCGCTGCATCCACGTGTACAACAAGAACGGCGTGGGGAAGGTGGGAGACCGGATCCTCCTGGCCATTAAGGGGCAGAAGAAGAAAGCCCTGATAGTGGGCCACAAGATGCCCGGCGCCCCCATGACGGCCCGCTTCGACTCCAACAACGTGGTGCTTATAGAGGACAATGGCAACCCCGTGGGCACCAGAATCCGGGTCCCCATTTCATCCTGCCTGAGGAAGGACGGCGAGCACTCCAAGGTGCTGGCCATAGCCCAGTCCATTGTGTGACGAGACAGGTACTCTTCCCAGCCTGGACTCTGTGTAATAAAGTGATACTTTGTATATGATTGTGGATGTGACGGAATACTTCCTGGGGGGTAAATGCCCGGAGTAACCATCTTCCAGTGTGCCTATAGCCCTTCTGGTTCGGTTAGGGACGGTTCCACCCCTCCTTCCCGTGTGTGCGCCATTATCTTTGGGCTTGTGTCGATGGCATCAGTTTGAGATGCTTCTGAGATCCTTCCGTGTTCATTGACCGGTGTGGACGACCTGCTTCAAGGAGGTTTTGCATCCTATAGGCCGTGAACAGAGGCCCATCGGCTCAGGTCCTTGCGCTTGCCCATGTATACAGGTTATCACAGCCCCCCGATTAACCCCTTCACGACTGAGGCCTTTTTTTTTTAATTTTTTGCACCCATGTTATATTCCACATTTTAGGCCTGAAAATTACCTTAAAACCCCCCAAACATTACATATTTTCTGAATGCCAAGACCCTATAGAATAAAATGGTGTTAGTTGCAAACTTTTATGTTGCGCAATATTAGCGCAACTCCTTATTAAACCCCAACATTTAGTGAAAAATTTAATTAAATGCCCCAAAACACAACAAAATACCCATTTTACCCAGGTTACAAATTGCGTGCGTCCGTGAAACGGCGAAAAACTGCAGTACCCCAAAAAGTCAATAAAAGACGCTTTAAAAGCCCCCACAGGTCATCAATTTAGAGATACCCCAAAATACTGGCCCTAGAATTATTGCTCTCACTCCGGCGTGCGCGGCGATACCCAACATGTGTAGCGCGTTCATCGTTTTCATGCGTAGGCGCACCCGATGCGTGTTTACGTGGCGACGCGCGTGCTCACGGGGGCGGGGGACTTTTAAAAAATGTTTTCATTATTATTAGATTTCTTTTATTTATTTAAAAAAACTTTTTTTTTTTTTTTAAACTTTACTTTGACTGCTATCACATAGGGGGGCTTACAAGCCCCCCCCCCCCATGTGATAGCAGATGGTGGTGACCGGTACTCTTTAAGGTGATGCTGGGGGTCCAAAAGACCC